CTTCAGCTATAATCTCGTACTTCATTGAAACATAAGGGTATTCACATAAAATCTCTACATGGTGTTTTCCGACACTGTGCGAAATTTCGGAATATTCAAAAGGCTCTCAAATGGTGAAAAAAATTTGTCCCTCAACTTCGACAATAGAGGCATGAAGATGATCTCATTACCTCGAGATATTTCGCGAATCAACTTCCTATCTCTCTTATTTACAGAGTGATCTCAAAAAATCAACTTTTTGGTTTCGCAGCCATAACTTTTTTCCACGTCAACCGATTTTGGAAATCTTAGGCTCATTTTGAAGATAAAACTTTAGATGAAGAGATCTGAATATCAGAATTGACTCAAGATGGCAATCAAAGATCTAGAGTTTTCTTGAAAGTGACCCAAATCTGGAAGGCCCTCCGAATCTCGGTTGGGAGTCGAATTGAATGAAAATCAACTTGTTCTCGGAAAAACAATTCATTCTGGATGCGTCCATATTTTCCTCGTTCTCAGTACTCAAGTATATGCGTGAGAAAACACAATTGAAACATGTTCTTGCAGAAACATCAGACCATTTCTCCTCTGTAATGCATGGCCCGTAACCAACGTTACAAGAATCACAGTAAGTGACTGACAAGTCAGGTTAGACGTCGTTTTCGAATCATAAACAGATTTTGATAGTTTCGATGCCGCATCTAACGCAAGACCAGTTGGAACTGATTCCACAAATGAGGGAACAAGGGTTATCTTCCCTCCAAATCGCGGATCTGCTAAACACGACAGTCCAATCCATTCAAAGGGCTTGTCTCCGACACGAATTGTTTGGTTATTACTTTCGATTCGTTCGGCGCATTATTGCGACTGAAAACTGTTAAAAAAATCACTTTATTGAAAAAATCAAAATCCGTTGCTCTTGTTGGTACACCATTTATGATGAGCCTCAGCTTTGTCAGTCACTCATTGTGATTCTTGTAACGTTGGTTACGGCGGGCCATGCACTACAGAAATGATTTAATGTTTTTGCAAGAACATGTTTCAATTGTGTTTTCTCACGCACAGTTCTTGACTACTGAGAGGTAGGAAAATATGGACGCATCCAGAATAAATTGTTTTTCCGAGAACAAGTTGATTTTCATTCAATTCTCCTCCCAACCAAGATTCGAAGGGCGTTCCAGATTTGGGTCACTTTCAAGAAAACTCTAGATCTTTGATAGTCATCTTGAGTCAATTCTGATATTCAGATCTCTTCATCTGAAGTTTCATCTTCAAAATGAGCCTAAGATTTCCAAAATCGGTTGACGTGAAAAAAAGTTATGGCTGCAAAACCAAAAAGTTGATTTTTTGAGATCACTCTGTAAATAAGAGAGATAGGAAGTTGATTCGCGAAATATCTCGAGTTAATGAGATCATCATCATGCCTCTGTTGTCGAAGTTGAGAAACAAAAAGTTTTCATCATTTGAGAGCCTTTTGAATATTCCGAAATTTCGCACAGTGTCGGAAAACACCATGTAGAGAGTTTATGTGAATACCCTTATGTTTCAATGAAGTACGAGATTATAGCTGAAGGACTGGGCTATCGAACAGTGTGAACCAATTTCAAATTGTTCTGAACTGAAAAAAGTTATTCACATTATAACAGGGGCGACATTTTGGTGTGCGACGAAATTAGTGTTGAGTAGTTTATTTCACCTATGAAACTTGAAATCATGCAGGATGAGAATGAAAGAATTTTATATCAGTTCTCTGTCAGAACGAAGTTCAAAGCCCACTATCTAAATCGCTATCCAATTATCATTCATATTTTCTTTTTTTGCCAATAATTTCACTGTATATTCATCAATTGTTTTCAAAATTGGCAGAGAGGCACAATTTCATACAGGGAATATTATTTTATGTACTAATCTACATTTTGATACAGGGCTCGCCACGTGGATGATTCCTGATGATGAAATCGCCTAGTTACTTTTGTTGACGAAACTTTTCAGTGATCTTGATTGAAAAATATGACCTAAACATCATTTCTACGTAATACGATATTTTCATCCGTTTTCGAGAAAAACACTATTGAATAACAGTTCAGAGTCTCAGAAGTTGAATACAAATATTATTTCATTCATGAAGAGTGTGCTTTGAACTGTCAGATAATGTTGCTGGTAATGGCATTTCTTGTCAGAGAATGAATTTTGGTGCGAGTTTATGGTAAAAATTTTTTCGATTGAAATGACTCGTCACAATCATTTTAAATGAATGAAGAAATGCGGAATGCAGCCAGAAGGTATGCATTGTAATATCTCTAATACCTAGGCAGAAAGCCTTTTAGTAAAATTTTAACGCCCTGTATCTCTTTCCACAGCAATTTTTCCCGACGTGTTATTTGTTCTATATGCCACTTTTAAGTCCTGTTTATGTAGAAATGAAGCTAATTTCTCAGTTGATGATCCGAAATAGTTTGAAGTTCTATAATTTTAATTATTATTCTTGATGGTAGGATAAACTTCTTGAATAGCTTTATGATGGAGTTTTTTAGAAAGAATACTGTCTATCAAATTAACGTTGTATCCGTTGTTGACTGCAATCTGTTTTGAGTTCTCTATTGAAGGAAAAGGAAAGGAAAGAGGGACATTCACTAGCCTGTGTATCATACTATTATATGCTGCAATTTTATGTTGATTTTACTTATTGTCAAATCTAAGAAATTGATTGAATTTTCAGTTTATTTCTATTGTGAATTTTATGTTTAGATGAATAGTATCTATATATTGATGGAAAGTGTCTAATTGTCTATTGGTTCCTTTAAAGCATACTATAACGTCATCTACGTATCTATACCAATACAAACATTGTTTTATTAATGAATGTTTATGTATTATTCGCTCCAAGTTGTCCATGAAAATTTCATAATCAACCCTTTTGACGCGGAATATATTTTGTTGTCAAATTGAAAGTAATTTTGTTTGAGACATATCGACAGAAGGTCTAAGATCTCTTGTTTGATAATCGAATTAACATGGTTTTTATCTAATAACTGCTCAACTAAAAGTATGGTATCTTCGGGAGGGAATTTTGTGTTGTCAGGTAGAGTAAAATTTTGAATTTCAGTTATCAAATCATAGGAATTTCTCAAGCTGAATTTTGATTGAAAATTACAATAGTTTTTTATCAACGTTATTAATTTTTCTGATAGTTTAACTGAAGGAGCTGTGACAAATGAAACTACTGGGCGAATAGGATAATTTTGTTTGTGTAATTTATTGAGAGAATACAGTTTTGGATTCATGATAGTTAATCTGAATTTCTCGGTTTCCTTAAGAATCGATTTAGAATTTTCCAAAAAGTATTTTATCTGTAATTGGTAAGAGTTTCAATATGCTAAATTCCTCTAAATTCAAATTTTTGATAGATTTGTAAATTTATCAGATACAGATTTCACGGACACAGAAGAGTCACTGATAAGTAAAGGTTTTAAATACAATATCAAACAAGATAACAGTATGAATAATTTCGAACTTCTTGGCATCGAAACAGAAATAGCTTTGAAAGGCACTGTCAACAATATTAGTAACAAATATCTAGTCTCAAACATCATTAAATCCGAATTTTTGAAAGATAATTGTTCTACGAATGATATGAACATAGTCAAATCTATAAAAATCAAATCAACCCAAAACGATACCATATTTACTAGAGCAGATGAAGGGAACACAGTCATTGCTATTGACAGGAATGATTATGTTCAAAAAACCCTTGATTTTTTTAATTTAGGGGAATTTAGCATATTGAAACGTGATCCTACTAACTCTTACCAATTACATTGATGTAAGGCTCATGTGGAGTACCCATATAACACAATTATGCAGCAGATTAAATTCTGCGATCTATGCTATACAAAAAGTTAGACAATGTATAAGCAAGTCAGCTGCCATAATGACCTACTATTTCATTTTTGAATCTACCCAAAGGTATGAAATAAATGTCTGGTGCTCAGCTTCCCAAGTACCTACATCTAAATAAACTTTTCCTGACATAAAAACATGCCATAAGAAGTATATTGAATATGAATAGAGAAGTCTCCAGCAAACCACTCTTTATGGAACTCCAATTAATGACACTTTACTCTCTAATATTGTATATGAGAAATTAGTAGAAGTGAAGAGCAACTTATAAATACTTATAAGGTATCCTCTGATGTTCGCTCACACAACACCAGGAAAAACAACAATTTGATACTACCCCTCACACGCTTAAAAAGATGTGATGACATAGGTGTCAAGCTTTTTAATTCATTGCCCTCTGATTCTCGTGACTTGAGAATCAACTTGTTCAAAACAAAGCTGAAACATTTTTAACAGCGAATCCTCTCTACAATATGGAAGATTTCTTTATACTTATGAAGAGCAGAGATGCCCTCCTCTGATATGCATCTATGTCTTTACTTTTACTTTTAATTGTATATCCATATTTTTTGTCGCTTCATTCTCTCATCTATCATTTATTCATTCATCATTTATTCATTCATACATCATTATTGTATGACGAACCTAATACAGTGTACTTGCTGTGCAAAAAGGTAAATAAAGTTAATTTGAATTTGGAGATGCTTCAATACCTAGAACCGATCAAAACAGGACGAACACAATCCTCTCGCTCAGGAAGGATAGTTCGCGCCCCCGACCGTCTGCAAGCAGGAATACCGTGATTGTCGATCACTGGAAGGGGGGTACTGTGGCGACGACTCAATCGTAATTATGAACTATGTACACAGGAACACCGATCACTCGGTTTTTTTTTAAATATCTTTAGAACAATAGAACAATTTTTTTTTAAGTTTTTCTGGAGACTTAAAGTTGATAAACTTATCAGGCCTTATTTGATAATTACCTCGGCTGATCCCCATCACAAAAATAAATGAGTCATGTTGACAAAATAAGCCACTTGAGAATTCACGAAGGTAATCACATTTCCATCAATGATTATGGTCTATCTCTCTAGAACCTTGAAACTAGTTGTATAGGTGATGAAAGAATATATGTACGACAAAGTAGAGCCCCTTTGTTCAACAGCTAAGAATGATTTGGGAGTATTTATTGTGAGTATTATTAGTTTTTATATATTTTATATGAACACAAAAATCCTATCGAATGAACCTGATGAATATCGCACATATGTTTTTAGAAATACGATAAATGTGGTAACAGAAACCACTTCCCAGAAGGTGAAAACTGCAGAAATGAAAAGAAAACTGCACCCATCAGTGAGTACTTTACTCTAACCTTTCATCGATAAATACTAACAAAACAGAGTATATGATTTTTCACCAAAAAAATAAACAAAAAATTTACCTCAACCTTAAAATAAAAAATGAACTCTTAAAACAAACTGACCAGATAAAATATCTTAGTATTTGGTTTGATGACAGGTTGAAGTGGGACAAACATATTGATGTTCTGACAAAAAAAATATCTCCAATTATTGGTGCATTGAGAAGATGTCCCAAACTTGATTATAAAAGTTGCAAACATGATTCTCTACTCTAATATACTGAGTCGTATCAACTATTTAATAAATGTTTGGGGATCTTGTTCAAAAACTAATTTCAATAAAATATCAACATTATATAGAAAATCGTTAAAAGTATTGTATCGTCTCCCATTTGATACACCAACCAATCAATTGTTTGAAATAACAAATACGTATTCTTCAGATGAAATATATAGAATTGAAACTCTCAAAATATCATATAATATCATAAATAAAAAATTGAAGTCGAATTTCATTTTGATACGGAATTCTGAAATTCATAATAATGAAACTATAGACAATATAACAAATAGATATATTGGTAATTTTTCCTTCTGAAGTGGTATTTTATTTGAAGGTATCTGTATGCAATGATTCATTCAAACCATTAAACATATCACTATAGGCAATACAGTTTTTTCAATACTTCAAGTATCAGTGTACCTATCTGATTTCTGAGAAAATTTGAGAAATGCATTTAATCTGGAAATTATTTCAAGGGTATGCTAACGCATGCTAAAGTTTTTTATTTACATGTATATCTTTACACAGGAGTGGATCAATGATTCTGATTCTTTTTAATACCTATGTTGTTTCTCATATTCCGGATACAATGAGAGCACATGAAAGAATTCTGAATAGTTTTTTCATAACTTTCTCTCATTACCAGTCGAAATTGCTACCAAAAAGTATCTTGATACTTACCAATTTACGCCTTAGAAAATTGAAAAATGTATTTATCTGCTATCGGATTGACTCACGGATGTGCAATAATTATGTTGTAAATTTGTATCTTTATCTGATGATTAATTTTATGGGTAACTTCAATACACATAATTCATTTCACTAGGTACACAAAGCAGCAATAATGATATCATGAAAACATATTATTATTATTTTATTTTCTTTATTCAAGAGACAATTTTGATTTTTTATTCGAGAATTTTGCGTTCTATCAAAATTTGTAGCAATCCAATCCGAAAAAGTCTTTTAAAACACCTTCACACAATTTGTTTTGTATGGAAAAAGTGTCATGTGATCCTGGAATCTACGCCACTGTTAGGTACTTTCGTTGTACCCTGTATTTGCCCAATGCTTATTTGGAAAACAACGAACACATGTAGAATCAGAATAATTTCCACTCTTTGAAAACATATAGCAAGAAAACTCCTCTCTTTCTCTCTCCATAATTCAGCTTTGTATACAAGTCCTTTAATTCATTACACTTGTCACTGAATCACCTTGTAACTTAATGGTTCACCTATAGTATGTTCGAGAGTTTTCAACATTTTTCGGTAGAATCACGTCACTTGAATTTAAAAATAGAAAACCATTTTTTGTAACAACTGTGACGTTTTTTGATTCGGTCTACATTTTTTTGCTAGTGGTGGTTGTGCATCAAAGATCAGCAACCCCTCCTTGGCAGAAAGTTGATGGATATACAAGGGCTCCTAGTTGTCCACATGTATACTTCAACCTACTGGTATACTGAAATGCCTTCATTTGCTATAGGTATACTGATATTTTCCATTGCTGATGTTGGACTTGATGGTCCGAGATAGGTCCCATGTTAACACACTCATAGATAATCATCTACTTTCCCTAACACAATTTCCTCTTAGTTTTTCCAGGAAGTATATCAATAAAGCTCAACCAGCTGAGAGTAGTCTTATGGAAGAACTTGATCATAAGGAAGAGGCATTGGTTGTTGACAATAATCGAGGCATCGCTTCCCATAGTGCTGTTTTTTCTGATCGCCTACGGCAGAAGCAAAATCTCCGGACTGACCAAAACCGAAGTAACGGACCCAACATACAACGAAGTAAACGGGATACAATATTACCTTGGTATTGCTGACGTAAACATATTGTACTCCCCAGACAATGAGTTCACTAGCGATATCATTCAAAGAACTTTGGAAAAATTCCAAATGCCGAGTGATCAAGTTTTCGGGTTCACCACTCCAGACGCCTTGCTAGAAAACTATCCAAAGTATTCCAACAATACAATAATCGCTATTATGTTTGATACCAAAAACCCAAAGGAATTAATTTACACCATAAGGTACTACGAACCAGACTCGTACAAAGATCAACTTCCGAGTACTTATAAGAGATACGTTCCATCGTACTACATGTTTACTCCCAGCACTGACAACTCTTACATTAGGAAAGCATTCGTTCCCCTACAGAAAGCCTTGGATTTTTCTTTCATCGAACGTTCTATGAATATCAGCGACATCGATAGAAACGTATCCCTCTCAACACAAGAATTCCCGTATCCACCGTATAAGTCAGATACTTCACTTCAGACAATCTTCATGGAATATTTGCCACTATTGACGCTCTTCAGCTTCATCTTCCTCTGCCCGGCTGTATTGACACGTGTAGTTGAAGAGAAACACTCTGGCGCCAAGGAACTGTTGAAGATGGTGGGAATGAAGACATGGATGATCTGGCTGGGTTGGTTCATCTACGCAATCATACCAATATTGTTTTCTATCAGCTGTATTGTGTTTTTAATGAAAGTCCAGCTTTTTGGTTCCAGCTATCCCCTTATAGAACACACTAGTGCTGGAATTTTATTCATTTTCTTGCTATTGTTCTGTACAGCGGCTGTTTCGTTGTGCTTTGCTATTAGTTCTTGTTTCAGTAAGCCCTCAAACGCTGTGGTGGCAGGTATTCTAATATGGATTTTGTCGTATTTTGTGCCAAAATACTCCTTGGTCTTAGAGGAATCAAACAGTTTATCATGGTTAGGAAAAATTTTATTGCTATTATTACCTAACATGACTCTCCATTATGGGTACGCAGCCATATCAGTCTTTGAAGAAAGAGAAATTGGAGTTCAGTGGAACAATTTTGGCCAATCTAGTACTGGCGGCTCTGAAGATGTCACAATGTTGAATGTATTCGTAATGCTCTTGAGAGACACATCACTTTATTTGTTATTCACATTCTATATGGAAGCTGTGAATCCTGGAAAATATGGTATCAAAAAAACAAAAGGTTTCCTTATTGAGTATTTATGGCATTTGTTCAGTAAAACAAGTGAAGTTAACGATGATTGCGAGGAAGTTCGTCTTCAAAATATCGAGGAAGGTACTACATTACATAACGGAATCAGCATCAGGAAATTGAAGAAGCAGTATGGCTCTGATACAGTTGTAGACATCGAGGAATTGAACATTCACAAGAACAATATCACAGTTTTGGTTGGTCACAACGGAGCTGGTAAGTCGACAACCATGTCCATGATTACAGGGATGATAGAACCTACTTCTGGAATGATAAGAATCGACGGTTTGGATACCAGAGAAAGTCAGGATGAGATAAGAAAATCCCTTGGCCTATGCCCCCAACACAACCTCCTTTTTACAGATCTCACAGTAGGAGAACACCTGGTATTTTTTGCCAAACTGAAAGGGAAATCTTCAGAAGAAGCTGAAATGGAAATGAGTGAACTATTAGACAAAATGAACATGTCGGAAAAGAAAAACGTCTTGGCCCACACCCTCTCAGGGGGTATGAAAAGGAAACTCTGTCTAGGAATGGCACTGATTGGAGGTTCTAAAGTTTTGATCCTGGATGAGCCATCTTCAGGAATGGATCCAGAATCGAGACGACAACTGTGGGATTTACTGCTCTCTTGGAGAGGAGAGAAAACTATTTTGATTAGTACTCATTTTATGGAAGAAGCTGATGCCCTAGGAGATTGGATAGCCATCATGTCTGAAGGATCTGTCCAGTGCTATGGTACCCCGATGGCCTTGAAAAAAGATTATCACACCGGCTATCATTTATCTTTGACGATCAATGGAGGGGCCAATGGGACTGAAACCAAGATCAAAGATTTAGTTGGGAGAACTGTCGTCGGTTCTCAGTTCAAGTCAAAAAACGGCAATGAAATGATATTTATTTTACCGTTTGAGGATACAAATAATATAACAGAGTTATTGTGCTCTATAGAGAATAAAAAAGAGGAGCTGAAAATCGAGAATTCGTCAATATCGATAACTACTCTGGAAGATGTATTTTTGAAAACAAGACCAGACAGTGAATATATTCCGAAATCTATTAGTAACTATAACCCAAACCAAGAACAAGAAGATGAAAAAATGAGGAAATGGAGAAAACAAATTCTGAAGTTACTTGAAAAGAGATATTTCTTCACGATCAATAAATTGTATACTTACCTAATACCCACACTCATAGGGTTCCTCTCCTTCGGTCTCACCTTATATCTGACTAGCAGCACAAACGGATATTATCATCAAAATGGACCCAAACTGCCACTTCAGCTGAGCACATATAAACAAACTTCCGTTTTTTACAATGCTTCTGAGAGAAATGATATAATTGAAGTCATAAAAACACAGTATGAAAAATTAGTTAAGACGGAAGGTAGTAGTGTTGATGAGGTATTGGAAGTAGAACAAGCTATCCTTGATGAAAGTAAGCAGAACATTGCTTACTACAGAGAACACATTGTTGCCAGTGCTTCTTTCTTTCATTATAATTCCAAAATTGAAGCTATTGCTTTGTACAACGGGATGGCTGTTCATAGTTTACCGATATCTCTCAATCTTGTCACAAACGCGATTGCAAAAACATTGTTAGGGTCGGAATATTCAATATCTACCAGTAATTGGCCACTTGCATCAATCAATCAGCATTCCTCTAATGAATATTCAGAAACGAAAGTGGTAGTACTTTGGCTGATATTAATACCTATCGGTTGCTTGTTCATACACGGAAGTTTCATCGTTTTCCCGCACACCGAGATTTCTACCAAATTCGTTCAAATGCAATTCATGTGCGGAGTAAAACCGTACTTGTATTGGCTGTCCAATTTTGTCACCGATATGTTGATATACCTAGTATTTATTCTTGTAATGTCTGTCTTTATGTGTATTTTTTTCCCACCTATGCACCACCTATATGAATTCTGCTATTTATTTTTGATTTTGTTTGTGTACGGTTTATGTGGTATTCCATATTCTTATTTATTCAGCAGAAAAGGATCATCTTCCGGGGCATTTGCTCTATTCATTATACTCGGGATATTTCTAGGTGTGATTATCACTCTTATAGTTGGAGTACTGTTAGAGTCTCAAGATGATTATTACATACGCATTGGTACATATTTGAAGTACTTGGGCTCGTTCTTCATACCCCAAGTGGGCTTGTCAATGTCTTTGGTGGAGTTTTGTAGAAGGGCAGTAGACAATTTCAATTTGCAAATAGTGCCCAAAAAGTTGTCAAGCATATGTTCATATGCCAGCCATCCTTGTTGTGACATCAACTCTATTGAATGTATCCAACACAAGGATTATATGAATTTGCTATTGCCTAATTTTGTTTCAATGCTGGCAGGTTGTATGTTCTACCTACTAATTGTTATTTTCTTGGATAGTTATCTTTTGTTGAAAAGATGGTCTCGGTCAAAATATCGATTGCTGCAGTTCATTAGGAATTTCAAAGATAATGAAAAAGAAATTCCTATCAATGAGAGTGAAGTACCTGTCTCTAAAGAAAATACGTTGAATGTGAATAGATTGTCCAAGACCTATTCTGGAAATAAAATCGTCAACAACATCGGCCTGACTCTCGAAAATGGACAATGCTTGGGTATATTAGGTGTGAATGGTGCTGGCAAAACTACTACCTTCAAGTTGCTGACACGTGAAGAAGTTCTGGATAACGGCTCAATCAAAATAAAGCTCAACCAGAAACAAATAGGCGTTGACGAGGACGAATACATGGAAACTTTAGGATACTGTCCCCAATCTGATAATCTAAACTACGTTCTAACTGGCAGGCAGATATTGAGCACTATTGCTGTTTTACGTGGTATAAACGATCCTGGAATCGTTGACGAGTTTCTCAAGATATTCTGCCTGGAAGAGATCGCAGACAAGCCATGTGGTCATTACAGTGGAGGGAACAAGCGTAAGCTGAGCTTGGCAGTTTCTCTAATTGGCTTCCGCAAATTCATTCTCCTCGATGAACCGACCAATGGCGTCGACCCATCTGCTCGTAGGAAATGCTGGAATATCATAAAAGATATGCAAGACCAGAAAAACATGTCTTTCATTCTAACTTCCCACAGCATGACTGAATGTGAAGCTCTATGCGATGAACTTAAGATAATGAAAGGTGGTAAGTTTGTCGTAGAAAATAAGCTCAACGTGTTGAAGAAAGAGTTTGGTGGGTACAGCCTCAAAATAAAATTGAAAAACAAAGGACCATCCGATGAAGTAGATGGAAGTACTTTCACTAGCTCCCGAGGTGTTGATGAGGTTGAGGTTCCTGCAGTCCAAGCCAAGGACTACGAATTCAAAGATGAAAATGATCTTAAAAACTATTTCACTAAAAACAATCGTGGTGAAATAAAAGATGATCATGGTGGTTTGATATGCATCTATATAAAAAATCAAGGGGACGAAAAAAAATGGAGCCAAATATTTGAGGAAATAGAAGACATCAAAAATAAAAATTATCATTTGATAGAAGACTATTCTATCGGTGAGGCATCACTTGAAGATGTATTTCTGGAAGTTGCCAAATCAGAGGATTCCCTAGAAGCAAAAGAAGATCATTCAACACCTCATTTTCTATGCAGTGGTTTATGGTTGATATGATTAAAGAATCTAATGTGCCATGTGAAGGGGGAACAAAAGTTGAATCTCTACAAGTAGAAAGAACCGTATGATTGATTATTCAAATTTCGAGCTCTGGGGTCGAACACGAGACTGAATTGCCAAATATAAAGGAATAAATGTTGAGAAAAATAGGAAAATAAAAAATTTTTAACAATTGTAGATAGCAAACATGCTAATACATTCACGAATATTTAGTTTTATCAAATTATTCCGAAGACTGATACCCATTTTCTTTTTCGTTTTCATAAATCATTGCTTGACAAGCAAAAATACCCCTAGATACCAAATTTCATTTCAATTTGCCGATTATTTTGAAATTTATTAACAAAAAACCATAATAAGAATTCAACTTTGACACTCTGTATCTCAGAAACGAATAACTTTCGGACATATGTTTATAAGCACTTTTTTTCTTAATTTGACGACAGCAACATGCTCCTGAATTTTCTACACGTACTTAAGAAACACCCTGTATATGTCAACGATTTATTTTTACACATGAATTTCATAAATCGTGTAATGTTTGCGGACGATGCAACCTTCTACCACTCTGATTCTAAGACAACTTCATTACATAATACAGACATAGAATGAATGACTGATTCCAAATCACCTTAGGCAAAATGTATCTAAAAATCAAAATGGATAGTGCATATAAACTCGCCTTGTGAAAGATTGACCAGTCAAATATTTCTGTTGAGGAGACTAAAGAAGTCTGTTAGTATGGATATAATGAAAATATCATATTTCTCTCTCTTCCATTCACACCTGTCATATGGTACAACATTGTGGGGCAACTCTTCCCACACGAGTAGATAGAGCTTTTGTAGATCAGACACGGGCTGTCAGGATCATTGCCGGAGTTGGGCCCAGAGTGTCGTGCAGGTCTTATTTCAAGAAATTCAATATTTTGACTTTGCCATCAATTTACATTCATCAATGTCTCATTTATATGCGGAAAAATTTACAAAAATTCAGCTGCCCTAGCAATGTTCATTCATATAATACCAGAAATTGACCAAAGATACAAAATCCGAGACTCAGACTAACAACGTCTTCCAAAAACACTGTAAACGTTGAATTATTCAATAAACTACCAGAGCACTACAAACAACTACTACCATACAAGTTGAGAAAATAATCAAAAAAGTGTTGATTGATGGGTGCTTCTACTCAATCGAGGATCAACCACATATTTCGAACCACTGCCACGGTGACAACTTATGCCTTCTCCTTGATTTATGTATTATTATCATCTGGATTTTAATCTGTATGTTGATGTTATATTTTATAAGTATGTATTTTTGACTTTTTTATATTGTGCTAAAAGTATCACATACCTTTTCAACTTCAGAATTGGTTAGTTCGATTTCAGAAATGGTAAACTCAATTTCAGAATCGGTGAGATGAATTTCAGAAAAAGTCCATTCAATTTCAGAAATGGTAAGTTGTATTTCAGAATTGGTAGGTTCAGTTTCAGAATAAAAATCCTTATATTTGTTTGAAATGTTTTTGATTGCAAAAGAGTCAAGAGTCAAGTCAGAAATGAGCTTTTTGCAAGAGCATCGCCAAAGAGTCATAGCTGGGGATCCAAACGGATTGCTCAGCCAGATAAAATTCAGACTGCGATGTCTTGAAGAATGTGCAGATCATTCAACGAGAATGATAACACCTCAAATGTGTTTGCATTCTTATAATCATGTGCAACGCCACTATCCTTCTGCGATTCGGATGGAAGACATATTATCTGTAGATTAAATTGAGATTATAATTATGTTACTGAATTGTTTTCGAAAAGTTGAATATTGTGAATATAGTTTATTAATTTCACACGCAATTAAAAACATTTCGAACAAATATAAGGTTTTCTTTTCTGAAATTGTACCTACCAATTCTGAAATACAGCTTATTACCATTTTTGAAATTGGATGGACTTTTTCTGAAATTCATCTTACCGATTCTGAAATGGAAATTACTTTTTCCGAAATATAACTTACCGATTCCGAAATTGAAGTTGAAAAGGTATAGAGTAATGAAAAAAAAATCAAAACCGTCTGAAACTATTGTTCAGATTCAGTCCCAGTGTTAGGTTGGATTGTTTGGAAAAAGTTGTATCTTGTACCGAAATCATATTTTCTCGAAAAAACGCTTTCTAAAAAATGTGTATTTAGGTAAAGTTATTTCAGATAGTTTATAAAAAGTAGTTCTCTCGCGTAATTTTCTAGAAATTATTTTCCAAGTAGGAAACAAAAAATTCAAAAAATCCAAAGTGATTTTTCGGCAATTTCACCACCACTTTCGACAGACCAACCACCAACCTCATTCGGCGTTTTCACCCATAATTCATTGACTTTATTATTCGGCGGAGTGACCGGGATCCATCACAATGAGTATTTTTTTCCAATGACAGTCTAAATATGTATTTAAATTGATACTTATACGATTGATAAACGTCAAAAGGTGGCTGTGACTTGAATTTGATAGTATTCCAGAAATCCATAAATGGTTCTTCTTAGACCAGATGTTCATAGTCCTTTCAGGATATGAGGAAATTAATATATGGAGGGTGAGTCGAGAGCAATAATCGAAACTCTAGGGGTATATATTTCAATCACATAAATAATATTGAAAAACTTAAGAGTTGTCATGTAATTTTCATTTGTTTTCAAGTTACATCGTGTTGAAATTTTCGAAAATAAAAAAGATTCTTGATTGATATCTAGATAATGTTTTGGCTGATTTTGATGAGTATCAATCTATCTAGCGATTCTTTTTTTAACTTTTTTTTCTTGTAAAGAAATGGAAATTTTCAAATTTATTTCCTTGTCTAGAATATACTGCTAGAGTTTGGCCCAATTCCGTTCAATCCCAAGAATACGAAGGTACTTGATAAGGTTTTCAAAGACTCAGGTTTTGAAAGCGTTCATCAGTCTGGGTCAAAATTAGGCAATTTATTAGGCAATCCGAAAGATAAAGTGAACACACTTGAAAGTCGGGAATACGACTATACGACTACGAAATAGGTTGTAATGATTGTGATAAAACATATATTGGCCAAACCAGGCGACCCATAAAAACAAGGTTCAAAGAACACATAGCACATTTGAAATATGGCCAGGTTAGATAAATCGTGTGTAGCCGAACATATGTTCAATCATAATCATAACACACATATTACTTACCTCAAATTAGTTGAGCAAGTTAATTATATATATTATAAAAATTAAGCTTAGAGTAATTTAAGAATAGTAATGGAGTAATGAATAAGGGTATTGGACCTATTCAATATAGCCCTCTATGTAGTTTAGTAATATATATAAAAATTAAGATTAACATGTGAACTCAACCATGACAAACAAAGATTAACTTGACGGGTAGTATATTTTTCATGATTGGGTGAACATATATATATACCTAGTAATCTATGGTAAAAGTCCATGGCATCTCAAAGTGGAGTGTATAGATTCATAAACACAAACATGACTTTGTGTGTCTTGTTTGTATATTTTGTATGAATATTATTACTCTAATTCAATCGCCCTGTGTAGACAGCACTGTTTCGAAACATTATTGATTGTTTTTTATGTAAATAAAGTTTTATCTGGAAAAGTGGTGTGTAATTCGACTTTAGAGCAACGTTATACAAATGGCGCAGTCGAATAGAGGAGATCATTTGCATATTAAATGTTTGACACACTTTGTATTATCGAAAACTACGCCTTCCTGGACCGAGAATACATATTTCTCTATATATACAGAGTGTATAGAGTGTGTCAAACATGTACCAAGAAATATTTGAAGAAAATGAATCTTCATACTTATTCTATGTCTATTTTGATCACGCGTTTATTTTCACCCCAGTTTTTCAAGGAATTTTTGGCACAAATTCATTCAATTAATTGGTATTTATTTTTTCCCATGGAAATGAAGCAAATTATCAAAACAATTCAAGAGACCAAAATGTTGTATTTTTAGTTGGTCAATAGGTTATGGAGATGAAGAATTCAAAAAAATCAGTGGCGCACATTTTATTGACAATAATATTCGGTAGGTTGCCCCTCAGGACGCCACTGGATTTCATAATTCCGATTGAATTATGACTTTATCAGTCCCTCGTGACAAAAAATATTATTGCCAAATTCCAAAAAAATCAGTGAAAGGACATTTTTTAGATATTCATAAAAAACTTTTTCAAAAGTTTCAACACACTGTACGTTGAAAACTATGCATTTCCGGACCCACGTACATATGAAATGAAATTCTTATTTCATCATGTAGAATCACCCCCTTGATTTTTTTGCGCATAATTTCCGGACACCCTGTATATTACGTAGGTAATATACCTATACTATTATCTACAACTATGGAGTCATTCATGCATTACTCGATTTTCGACTTACCTACATATACATTTATTGTGATGAATCGAGTAATAAAGAGTAATAATGACAGTAGGGTGGCGTAATAATCTGACATCCCATCGTCTTGTCAAATCCAACTAGGTATAGGTATTCGTTCTACTAGTTCGCAAATTCAAAATACTGATCTTGCATGGTTCTCATAGTTTCAATCACCTTAATTCTACAATACACTTATATTGACACTTGCAGATTTGCTCACATGGCTACAGAGTAGGCTCTTCGAATAGATTAGTACAAAAAAAAATGAGGAGCAAAAAAGTCTCTAAATTGAACGATCTACACAATTTGATCACTGAGATGCCAGAGGCGTACTACGAAGAAGTTTGGAGGGGATAAAGAAGACTCTACCTCCAAAAACGTATCACCCTGTAGATTTTGAAAATCTTTAAAATGCTTGAAATGATGATCTTCTAGGGAGTATTGACTACACCAAATTTCAAAATGATATCTTGAAAAGTATTTATGAGCGAGATATTCCAATAATAGAAAAAAATTATTAATTTTTGACCCCCTGTAGCTCCGCTACTGAACGAGATGGGACTAATGTTTATATGAACTTTTGTGATTAATATGATGAGATCTATCTCCCATTTCAGTTTGTGCCTTAAAACCTGAATCACCCTGTATAATATTTTTTTCACTAATAACACTGAAAAATCAACATATTTTATCAACTCAGATTTTCAAGTCCATTGAAGGAGCAATGCCATTCACCGTGTATATTCAGCATTATTCAGCATATCACTAAAATTTTTGTAAAATACACTCACCGGCAAAAAAAACCGGCCACCAAAAAATTTAGTCAAGTTGTTCACCCTGTAACTTCTTTAGTTCTTGTCGGATA